ATGAAATTATACTCTACTAATGCGAAATTAAACAAAAGATGGAAGGATATGTGAGAGTCCCGGTAAATCGTGCTTTCTGTGTAATCTGATATTAAAAATAATAATTATTGGATGTTACGGTCTTGCAGGTATGATGTTGATGTGTTACTTGCTCACAGATGGTTAAGTTCCGGTGAATCTGTAAGTAATTTAAGTAATCACACCTCTATAAACTGAAAGCAATGTCGATTACGTGGGTTATAACTAAAACTATGCCGATTATGTGGTTCTTTAGTCTTGTATCCTTCAAAAACAAAAAAAAAAAGTCTTGTATATAAGAGTTGAAAGTTTTCGTAGGGGCAACACTGTTATGTGCATTGCATTAAATATGTCTAACAAGAAACAATTTTGCTTTATTCATCGTATTAATTTCATTTGATGAATCTGTTAACCTGTTAAAGGAAGTTCGTGTCAGATATGTTGGATTTGGATCCGAAGAGGATGAGTGGATCAACATAAAAAAAGCAATACGAGAGCGTTCTGTTCCTATCGAGCATTCAGAGTGTCACATGGTTAAGGTTGGAGATCTTGTCCTCTGCTTCCAGGTGAATTGCGTTGTGTCTCTTGTATGATTTAAATTCTACAATTTGACAGTACCACCTTACAAATATAGATGTTTGGACATTTTAGGAGAGGAGAGACCGAGCGAGCTATTATGATGCTCACGTAGTATATATCCAGAGGAGAATGCATGATATAAGAGGCTGTAGATGCGTCTTCTTAGTTCGCTATGATCATGATGATACTGAGGCAAGTATTTGACTATTTTCTACGTATTTGTCTGAGATTCCTTGACGACCTCATATACCACTGAAATGTACAAAAGTGCAAAACCTAACAGCTGTGCCAACACTTGCTTTTCACAGGAAAGAGTTCTTCTGAGGAGATTATGTCGTAGGCCAACTTACTAGATTCTTTTCATCCACTGCTCAAGTTATTTTTCGCAGTTACTCGGCTGGCTTTTTTGCTTTTTCAAGATTCAGCTGGCTGAGGAAATTGGAATCCTCGACGCGCGCTTAAACCACTCGAGGAACAAAGGTTCGCAACAACTCAGCAAGTTTGCCGTTGCTGATACTTTACTGTATATCCAGTGTCAATATAGGGGGGATTGTTCTAATTAGATTGTATTCACCTGTATGAAGGATTCGTCTAAAGGAGCCACATAGGAAGCCTTTTCGTCTCAAAACATTGGTCGTCTCTACTAATTTTTGGACAATTGGATGGGTTCACTAGAGTTTTATCCAGTAAACTATTCTTTAGGAAACGAGCTAAGTAATGTCCTAAATGGAACTTAATACTTCTATTAATTGGCTGGAAGAATAGCTTTTACAAGCCAAAAAATCTGCAAATTTACCAAGAGCAATCAGATCGCAACTTAAGAGCTAACTTCTTGAACGCAAGAAGAGATACGGGTAGAAAAAAAGACGAACAAACTTAAGCATACTGGTTTTAAATCAGTAAATAATGGTGGCAGTAATAATAATAATTGAGCTTCTACTTGCACAACACTAGCCACTACTTTTGTGTGATTTGCGCCTATTTAAACATTACTTTTACTCAATTCGCAGGAAGAATTTCAAAAATGCCACTCAAATGATGTCATCTTTATTTATGTTACTTTGTTTATGTTACTTAGGATCTTACTACTCACTTTACCCCAAAAAAAAAAAAAAAAAAAAAATCTAACCTATTTATGTTTCATGGTGTAAATGTAAAACCTTTAAATTTGGAGGCGTGCCATGAATTTTATCTAACTATTGTTATTTCATAATTCTAGTTTAACCTTCTTTGTCAAAATTAACATAGTTTTTCTTTTGATGAATTCTTTACAAAAAGGATCAAGCCCAAAATTTCCACCGGACTAGTCTTAAACATCTCTTAAATTGTAGGGCTTTATAGACATCTGCCACAAAAGGGAAATAGTAGAAAATAAGCGAATATGAAAAGCTTAAGAAAGTATATAGGCTAACTTTTAGTTATATAAATTAATAGGTCATAACTTATTAAGTTATAGTTCATAACCAGATAAATTATGGACAAACTTGTCAAGTTATGGTTCATAGCCAAACAAGTTATGGATAAAAATCGTGAATTATGGACAATAACTTGTCAAGTTATGGTTCATAACCAGACAAGTTATGGACGAAAACAGTAATTTAGCATATTTATTAACTTATGTAAACTATTAACATATTAATTTTAATTTATCTTAAATTTTGACCTATTTTCCTCTTTCTCCCACCACAAAATTAAGGTGCTCGAGCGAAAAAGCCATTTGCCACGATTTTTCTTTTGTTTCCTACCAATTTTACCCCTACCAATACTACTCTAAAAATAGCTCTTGTAACAAACACTAAGGACGTGTTTAAAATTAGTTTTATTTTTATTTTTCACATTTTTTTTAAATAAAAACAAAAAAAGACGTTTTAACAGAATTACAAATAAAAATAATAAAAATAATTTTTTAATTTAATATAAAATGAAAAAAAAATAATAATAGTCATTTTTTATTTCTATTTATTTCCCTTAAACATTAATAATTTTTGGTTCATAACCAGACAAGTTATGGACGAAAATAGTAATTTAGCCTATTTATTAACTTATGTAAACTATTAACATATTAATTTTAATTTATCTTAAGTTTTGACCTATTTTTCTCTTTCTCCCACCACAAAATTAAGGTGCCCGAGCGAAAAAACCATTTGCCACGATTTTTCTTTTGTTTCCTACCAATTTTACCCCTACCAATACTACTCTAAAAATAGCTCTTGTATCAACAAACACTAAGGACGTGTTTAAAATTAGTTTTATTTTTATTTTTCATGTTTTTTTTAAATAAAAACAAAAAAAAAACGTTTTAACAGAATTAAAAATAAAAATAATAAAAATAATTTCTTAATTTAATATAAAATGAAAAAAAAAATAAAAAATAATAGTCATTTTTTATTTCTATTTTTTTTTTTTGCCTGAAACATTAATAACCCACTTAAAATTTCTCCGGACCAAGCTGGCGACCAGAAGTTGTTTCTCTAGATACGGTTGCTCATGTCGGCGACCAAATCTCTCGCATCGGCGAACCGCCAATAGTCGTTGTAATACCAGTTGGCATGCCGCCGTAATACCAGCTGGTATCCGACCGCAATATTGATATCTGGTCAAGATGTGGGTATCTGCCGGGATATCAGTTACTGATCGATAACGTAACCACTAAGTTACTGGCTCATATCTCTGAAAACAGCTGTTAGCAGCGGACGAAGACAGTAGTACGATCAAAAATCCAAAAAAAAATTTAAAAATACACACATTTATTAAAAAAAAAAATATGACCTCGTTCATTTCACCGATTCGAGTTTTTAATTTTAAGTTTTTACAGTAAAAAACTCTCAAAAAATATCACATCTAATTTTTTCTGCTATAGTGAAAAATTTTCAAAAAATATCACATCTCAACTTGAATTGAAAACTCGAATCCACAACGTGAACGAGGCATGAGAATCCAATCATAAATAAACAGAATGTACAAAAAAAAAATCACGACATAATAAAAAATAATTAAAAAAAGTCCATAATATTCAAAAAAATTGAAAAAAAAATATAAACATCATCAAATCTCCAACACACCAGATAGATAGAACATCTGGTGGATTCGTGCTGAGAAGCTGTATCTAACAGCAGAGAACGCAAGAGATCAAGTCGAAAATGGTGAAAAGCTTTGATCTCAGAGATGGCGAATAGCTCTGCAAATCCATCTTGACATTGCAGCGATCTCCGACCAGATCTCTGCCTCATTCTTGCTTTGGTTTCATTGTGTCGGTGTTGCAGATCTTCTCCTAGCGACACAAGCTCTAGGCACTCGGCGAGAAAGAATAGACGTTGAGAGAGATGGAGGCCAGTGAGAGAGGCAAAAAGCTATTTTGGAAAATGACGGCGAGAGGGGCGGCGGCGAAAGATTTGGAGAAAGGTTGAAGAAATATGAGAAGCTAGATTTTCTTTCTTTTCTTTTTCTTTTTTTTTTTCTCTTGAAAGGAGAGAACCAAAGAATTGATCAGAACAATGAAAAGGGGTAAAATGATCTTTACCAGGTTTAACTTTAGTTGGCACCTGTCGTAACTATTCGAACGTTCGAGTTTAAAATTTAAGTTTTAATCGAGTTTAAAATTTAAGTTTTAATTGAGTTTTAAATTTAAGTTTTATTATAGTAAAAAATTTTCAAAAACAGTTACATTTAACTTTTTTGTTACAGTAAAAAGCTCTCATATAAAGTCATATCTCAACTCGAATTAAAAACTCGAATCAACGAATTAAACGATTCTAAATATAAAAATTTTACCTGCTCTGACAAATGTCAATCTAAATAGAAAAACATGTGGCACTTGGCAGGGAGCCTTAAATAACTCTAACTCGTTTATTTCGCTTATTCGAGTTGAGATGTGACTTTATATGAGTTTTTTATTATAGTAAAAAAATTAGATGTGATTATTTTTTAAAACTTTTTACTATAACAAAACTTAAATTTTAAACTTGAATAGGTGAAATGAACGATACCTTAAATTTTAAGATGTAACTCGACCGTCTATCATATTTTTTAATTAGTAAAACACTAACGATACAAACCTAAACCTTATTGTTACTATAATTTTCCCATTTTCATCTTTAAATGCTACACATTGGTAGAGGTAAAAAGTAGGAGAAAATGAAAGAGTGGAGAGATTTTTGAAGAGAATAAAAATGTTGATTGTCTTATACGGGGAAAAAGGAGAAGGAAGAGAAAAGGACACGAGAGTCCCAATTTTCTCTCTCTAAATGTGGAGAGATTTTTAGAAGAAAACTTGTCATACTTGCATCAATATTTAAAATGCCTTTTTATCTTTATTTTCAAAATTAAAATTATATTAAGTAATTGACAAAATAGTCATTTAGTTGAAAATCCGTTCTTTTCCTCCTCTTTTCGAATTATATCAGAAGGCATAGGCATAAATTTTATGCTTATTAACATCCTCAAACGACCTTCACCACTCATTGAAGTTCAGACCTTTTCGTTAATGGAATCAATTCCTACATCTTCTTTTCTTGACCCTTTTTATGTCCCTTCCAATAACATCATGGAATCAAATAAAAATATAACTTAACATTTGCTTTGGTTCGGTTTTATTTTCTATTAAACGTGTACAGCTAGAAGCCTAGAACTTCTGCCAAGTGCCAGGTAACTTTTCTTTTCTATTTACTTGGTAAGTGTCAAACGATTAGGTAGGATTAGAAATCGGCCTCTGTCGAAATTCAGAAGTTAACCAATGAGCTCCCTTTCGAATACTTTATAAAAATTTTGTAAGGCCTCTAATTAAAGCAATACTCAAAAGAAAAAACAAAAAGAAAAATAAAAAAAAACAAGAAGAACAAGAACGAACAATTGAAAAAAACAAAACCCCCAACGTAGTCCTCCAACCATCTTGTGGTTAACCGTGGTTGAGCCATTGCAAAAGTTAAATCAGGATACCCTTGTAGCCTGAATGCCTTGCAACAAAAAAAATCCTAAACTAATAGAAACTAAATCACGTTAGTGTGCCCACCACTAGTGCCCTTAAGATTTGCTCCAATGGAAAACAAAACGCAACTGGACTAAGTAAATTCGGCCCTGATGCAAAAAGAGAGAACTTATCAGAAGGAAGAGTCGATATGTTACAATATAAAAGCGAATACATGAAACAAACAGAACATAATTCAAAAACTACCTAGAGCACACAAAAAGAAAAGGGTTGGCACGGTTTTTATTCCACACTCGGGGATTAGCAACAAAAACAATATAAAAAAACGAATGATAGTTTCTATAACTGAAAAGTAACAAAAACTGCTCCAAACCTCCCAAGCGTCTACTTTTCTGCACAAATGCTCCAAGTTTCTGTGCATCGATTACTGGTATCCAGGCCCTAGTTTCAAGCAACTAACAATCTTTGTTTCCTTAAATGAAAGAGAAAAAGTTCATAACCAATCTAATACATTTATCACTAATTCCGCAAAGCCAGAAAGAAATTTTAATTTCCATTTCTAGTTCATTTCATGTGTGGCTGCGTAAGCAATATTGCAGTTAAGAATTTATAAGACATGCAATATACGCCACCATCAAAGAATACGCAATTCATTCACTGGCATAAACGAATGTGGTGCGTAAGATCTGGGGTGATGCACACGCTGATAAAAACATAAGAATCGAGCAGCAAAGTCATCATTCCGAAGAAAGAGAATAACCTATGTTCCTAGATATGTAATCAATTCAAAACACTTCTAAACTTGGTTCCACTTTTGGAGAAGCCTCCATTGCATAACCAGATCTCAATTTTTAAAATTGTATAAATAACACCCCCGCATTTTAAATTGAGAAACAAAAATTAGATATGTATGTACGTATGTATGTATATATATCCATCTTCTATTTTTTGCTTTTTTGGATGACGGTCACAAAGGCATACTAAAAATGCATGAGAAACTTAAAAAGAAAAAGGAAACAACTCTTGCTCATCACGGTCACAGCAATCCAAGTTGGAAGTGCATCAATCATTTCTCATTCAGAAGGAAAAGTATTCCATACCATTTAAGTTCTGGCATTGCCACCTTCTTGAATAGCATCACGATTGCTGATGTCACACACCAAAATGCCACTCAAATTCCATCCCATTACCAGTCACTGTTGGAATTATGACATTTACATGTCACTCAATTGGAGCCTAGAAAACATAACAAAAGGCTATCACATAAGAACATAATAATGGAAAAGCTGAAAACAAGGAAATGAAGATGCAGCCTAGTTTGAATTTATAAAATACCAATCCAAATGGTACCTATTGGTTCCTGAATATTTGTACAAATTTTAACAAGCATATCAATAAAAATTTCGGCTACAGAAATACACAGAAAGGAAAATCACAAATCATTTCTAAAGAACTTGACGTAAATGATCCGTCTCAACTTACCATATTGTAAGATTAATGTACGGCACTGCAATTTCACCTCGTGAAGTTTGCCAAGAAGCTCGTAAACCCATTTCTGTCACCAAGACTTTACAAAAATCAACATCAACCATGTGCTCAAAAATTCAGCACTCGTACACTCCTTTTGTTTCTGACATTAACAAACTATAATCATTTACACCACTAATCAGAGGTAAACGACCAAACCACAAAGGCTAACCACAATCAAAAAGCTAGTCAGGAAACGACCCAAATGCATTCAACAAACTGGCTGCCAAGAAACACCTCAATTTCAATTTTTTACTGCCCGCTTTCTCTGTCAGTCTAATGCAATGCACTTCAGCACTACTCATACTAGACATTCAACTTCACTCTTAAACAGTCTTCAAGATACATATTCATATCACATTTCTGCTTAAAACAATTGTCAGTCTTCAAAAACGTCAGGAACTTGTACGAATGAAGAGTCCTTCAGCACCATAATATTAATACGTGTCTATGAAGATTATCAAGACAAGACTACAAAGGAAGGTTTAACGAAGTGTAACTCTAACTAGAGTGGTATGTATTCCATGAAAATAATGCACCATCACCACCAATTGGGTTGTATGGAGGCACAATTCATAAATAAAAATATAGCCTTAAAATTAACACCGAAGTATACAACTGCTTTCTGCTTTTGAGGTCAAACTCAGACATCAAGTATCTTCAATGTCCATACAAGATGCAAAAGGGAGATAAAAAGAAAAGAAAAGAAAAGAAAAGAATAGGGAAAAAAAAAAAAACCCCCCTAAATACGGGATGAATGGCTTAGAATGTCCAGAATACACTGCAAATCATACTTTAATGTTTCCCAGAATACATCAATAATGACAATATGACCTGTGCACATGCCTTCAAAGTTCAACCGAGAAACTATTGTTAATATAATATACAACATTTCAACATTAGTGAAATGAGCCCAGCCAATAGGTGGACAGATCAAAACCAGCTCAGATTTTCCAGAAAATTGAACGACAGTGCACAGGTGCTTGTAAGATATCTATGTGATGGAAACAATAAAGAAGAATTTAGCATACATCAACTCGCATATGCCATGACCAATTGATTTGCCACGAGAGAACCTTCGCTTCCAAAGCATTAAATGATAACTAAAAGCAGGCGTGAGTGATTAAAATCATGTCAGCAGATTCACAGGAAAAACTTTGGCAGCTCACGAGACCGTTCGGCCATAGCAAATAGATGCAATATAAAGATTCTTTGCCCATTTCTCCTGCAACACCAGCAGGTAGAAAATTAAGTTCCCCACAAGAAAATGTGGATGACACAAAAAGGATGCACAGAAAAATGGTTAATCAAATAGTGCACCTTGACATGTGTACTAGGAAAAGCAGAAGTGCGGAGTGTCTCTTGAGTTTCATCTGCTGGTTTTCTCCTTGGCACACTAAGTACAAAAGCAGCCTGGTCCCAAGTTGCCGCAGTTGCGGTGATGCGGTAGCCACCATCCCATCTTCTGTGAATACCCTCACTTGGATACAGAAAATCTAATTCCACAACCTGACAATTAAAAATATTATCAGGATCGTCTATCTATCTATCACCCACCAAATGTTACTTTAACCTAGAAAATTATTAATTTCCAAATCTTAGCAAGACCTGGTCAGAGAAGCCTGCGCCTCGAGACATAACAATTGCCCACCTACTTCCCGCAGTGGCCATGGCAGTAACATAAAATCCCTCCCTCCATTTCTTATTAATCCACTTGAACGGAAATGAATCACTCACTTTATAGGACTGCTGTAAATACTGGGTCCCTATATGAAGCAACACAACTCAAGTCAGACAGATACAAACTTTTAACAATATTCATGCTTTTGTGATAGAGCCCAACCTTTGGACATTACAACTAACGAACTTCCGTTACTGGCTCCTGCTATTGCGCTGATATAAAAATTCTTCTCCCACTGTTCCATGATCCATTCCTTTATAAAAGAAGAGAAAAGATGTTAATTTACAACAATAGATATCCAGTCAGCATTGATCATAATGAGTAGTATTAATGCAACATAATAATCACAAGACACACACCCCCCCCCCCCCCCCCCCCCCTGTAAATTATGCAGCAAAGTCAATTGCTGGGCGTATGTCAATGCACACTAAGAAAAGTAATTGATAACTAATAATTCCAGATAAAAGATAGACATGTATCCTAGACTCAAATGGAAGAGGGGAAGACAAGACCTTATGAAGAAAATATGGAGAGAGCTCATAAACTTGAGCTGTGAAACCAGTGCCAGCATCCATGATAAGAGCCCAAAGATTGGAACAAGAAGAAACACTGCTGATAAATAACCCATCGTCATTTCCCTTTTCAATGTGTTGGGACAGCCTCGAATCTGCAACATTGTAATGATATCTACAAGAAGAGATGGAAAAATCAACTTACTAAGCTTTTGAAACGAAGCTCAACTTCAAGATTTGTTATGTAAGATTACGTACCTTTGCTTCATAGGCCGACGAGCATTATAAATACTAATCCATTGTGTTGCAGGCATTCCCATACGAATCTTCTTCTTTGGCTGTTCGTCGTCTTCCTCCTCCATGGTCAATCGTCCTCTCTTATGCCCAACCTGACATATGAGCTTCACAATAAAAAATATGGTATTAGATGTATCCGAAACCAAGATTTATTATAACTGACACAGCAGTGCCAGTGGCTGTTTTCGTGTTATTTATTGTTAAGAACTTAAAGATATATAGCATCCTTGGAATCTAAATTCTTAGATTTTATGTCTTATCACATATTGCTGACAATTCTCCTTTTATGGCATTAGTTGTCAGCGTTCATTTGAAAACTGTTCTTGCTATTTAAACAGAAAGGATGAATAAAGAAGAGATCGCAATTACTATCTTTAAACTATACATTTCAGTTTGGAGACCTGGACCCTCAAATTGCCAGTTCTAGATCTTTTTCTTGCTGTCTTTTGAGTGTTTTGTAACATAAACTTCTAGAATATCCTAGTTGAAAGAACATCAAAAGTACCTTCTGAGCACCTTCGGTATTTATTGGCCTAATATCTGGATTTGGACCAACAATCCCATCAAAAAGGGAGATATATTTAGCGTAGTTAGGTTCTTCATCAAACTTCAAATTCACAACATATTCAACAAACTGTCGGAAAGGCTGTGGACAAAAGCAACACAGAGCTTCTGGAGAAGTAGCCATCTTCTTCTTACAGACAAGGAATCCTTTATTCTCCCCCTAATAAAAATATGTATCAGAGTCGAATCTCAAAATTAGGTATAAGCATGACCTAACTCAAACTTAGAAATACCAAACCTGATATCCTTGCCAAGGCAAGCGGCCACGGAGAAGAAATACAAGCGTGTAAGCAAGAGATTCCAAATCATCCCTCCTACTGCCAGTTCTACCAAGATGGGCATGCACACTAGCATACCTCACCGTTCCCCTGCAAAATACGAATTATCAGATACCATTGTCCAACCACCAAGGGAGGAAAGCAAACTTCTAGTCAAATAAGCACACTATCTAAATTCGGTATTCACCTGAAAACATCAGGCCGTTGATCGTAGTCAACATGATTGCCTGTTGAACTATCTCGCCACCGAGTAGCTAAAAGGACACAACAGATAAACGTGGTCATTTTCCATTCAAGGTAAAACTAATAACTAATAACTCTGAAAACACAGATTCTGCAGCGTACCCAAGCCAAGGTCAACAAGAAACAGCTTTTTCTCTTCCGGAGTTCCAGGGGGGCCAAGCAAAAAATTCTCAGGTTTCACATCCCCGTGTACATATCTGCCATGGACACAAGAAGCAAAAGTTAAAAAACTGTGTACATCATGACACTGGAATATCCAAAAATTAATAATGACCCTGCATATCATTTCAGATTGAGTTCACTTGTCCTGCTTATGCAAATAATTAAGAATAAGAGCCCGTTTGGTTGGAGGATTCGTTCTCTGATTCGAATCCTGGTTCATGGTTCGCTACAGTATTTTCTCTCACAAAAAACACACGTAAATCGAAAATAGTTCTAATCCATGAACCAAACAGGATCTAAATGAATGCTAGCCATTGATCTTTAGCTATAAACCTAAGACAAGACTAAAACACATTCATCCCAAGGTGAAGAGGTTTATAAAGTGAAAAACAAGTATAATGCTTCTGTAGTGTAGAACGCTAGAGGTAAATGAAATGGTAACATAACGCCCTATCTAGAGGGCCTGTAATGGAAATGTGAATTTCAATCATTTGACACCCTCAGCTAGGAAAGTCTTAGCAACATAGAAACTACGTATAACCAGGTTCAACAAAAGAGAAAAGAGGTAAACCAAAGGTCACAAAATAGAGTTAGAATTATAACCCTCTAGAGTGCATCTTTTCCAATATAGAAATCGCCTCAATTGCAATGCATGCCACCATTTCTATCGACATCCTGCAGTTGAGAAAAGTAGATGTCAACAACAATAGGCATAACTAACAAGTCAATGAAAAATCAGGTTATGAGACTTTTCTTTTCTTTCCTACACATCGAAAGACTTACGTGTGAGAATTGTTATTCCAGACATCCCACAAACTAGGTCCAAGCATATCCATGACCTGTAAGAAATGGGGTTACTTTACAAATTCTCAGACTAACAAAGTAGAAAGACAAATTAATGTCATAACATGCAAGCTAATGCAACAAGAAACGCGTACCATGACGTAGTAGTCACCCTGGCGGCCCTTATAATGAACTCGCGGCACTCCATGACTACCCCCAAGCGCACTGACAAGGAACAAAGCAAGTGAAAACTAAAACTTAAAACCACTAAAATGCAATATGCAAAGACAGAAAGGTATAACAAGAAGATTGGGGCCTCACTTGTAAACTTGCCATTCATATGGTGGTCCATAGTTACATCCTTTACTAGTTCTATGCTCAAACTTTAAGGCTACCTGAAAGAATGGAGATTAAAGGAATAAGAAGTAAACACAACAACCATCACTAAATACAAAATTCTGCGAAAAAACTGAAAAGAGAATAATGTCAAACCTCTAGAGCTCCAGGGCCAGTTCTTTCATTTAAATTTGTAGGGCTAGCACGTCTACCAACATAAACCTGTCCAAAGCCTCCTTTTCCCAATTTCTTTTCTATTCTGTACAATGGAGAACCACCAACTTGGACCTGTTGTTATGAAATAAAAATAAATAAAAAATCAATGAACCTCCCAAAACAAGAATTTTTTCACCAGATATCTTTCTTGATAATGTTGCATCAACAGTAATGCAATAAGCTGCATTCTTTCCCTTTTTAACACAGTTCAACGTCCACTTACAAATGAAAGAACATCCAATTTAACAATTTCTCAATAGACCTTCCTGATCAAATCTCAAGGGGAAATGACACAATTTTGAACCACAAAAAAAGAAATGGGGGAAACGTTTCTTCATTTTTCAACAAAACATAGAAAAGTTTAAAATTTCTCAAACAGAAAAACCAAGCAAAATTCAAAATCAGGAATTGTTCACCAAGAAAATATATGAGCGAAGGTTGAAAAAAAAAATTACTATCTTTTCGTTTCCTTTCTCTACAAAGGAAAAAGTCGATCCTTCTTCAAACACCAAAAAAAAAAAAAAAAACACTACCTTCTCAGGGAGAGGAGCTGTGCTGCCCTCATCCTCGGCGGCGGCGCCCTTATCGCCGCTCCGACCGCCACTATCGTACTCGTCCATGCCTCTCTCGCCGACACCTTCCCTCAAAACCCTATCCTCCTCCTCTTCTTCGCGCTTAACCAGCGTCGTCTCGCGAATCGCAGCGCCAATCGCGTTCGTCTTCCCTCTGTTATTCCCCTGCGCCGGCCTTCTTCCTCTTCCCCGGCGAGGTCGTGCGTCGGTCAGGTCCCGCGGCGGCTCCTGCTCTTGACGCTGTTCGGCAATCGGATTGCCGATTGGGTTGTTGTTGTTGTCGTTGTTGTGGTCGGGTTTAGGGTTCCGGTTTGATGCCCGATTTCTGCGTGGTCTGCTACGCAGCTCAGGCATGGTAGGACTGATGCTGGTCCATGAAGAGTTAGAAAGTCAGGCGAAGGTTCTGGAGAATGTTCGTGAAGGTTCTAGAAGCATCGACAGCGAAAAATTGATCAGTGAGTTATCGAGAGAAACTGAGAGATGACGAAGAGGGAGAAAGAAGAAGAAAAATAGTAGAAATGGATATACAGATGGATTAGATAAAAATAATTTAAATATTGAACGAAAAATGTTAGGGTTGGGGGTAAAACAAAAAACTAAAAGAGGGAATTTGGAGATCTGTGGAGGGAAATGAAAAGGGAGATAAAAGGATTCTAGATTTCCACTTCTGGAGGAGAGCGAGAGAAAAACAATGGCATGGTTGATTTTTTTTTTTTTTTTTTTTCCCCCTTCTCTGTTTCTTTTTATTATTTAAAATTTTTCTAGCGGTGATTTGTCCGAGAGTTTTAAGATTTGTTGTTGTTGCTCTAGACTCGACTAGATCTAAGGTTTCGAATTTAAAGTGAGGTTTGTTTTAAAAATTTTGTTTAATTTAGGATAATAATTCTTGATTTCGTTACAGTATTTTTTTCTCATAAAAAAATTAAATTTTATTTAAATTTATAAACTAAACATCACTTAAATATTTATCAGATTGAGAAGTGCCAACCTAAATACCCTCTTTTTAAAGATTTTTTGAAAATACTTTATAAAATTATGAGTCAGGCGAGCCAACCCTAACCCTTTTGGACTTCAGAACCGGGCTAAGTCGTCCTTCTCCTATTTAGGGTCGGACCGGCTAAAATTTCTATTCACAGCCCGGGCCAAACAACCTGAACTTTGGCCTCTAATTTTTCCTTATTCCCTTTTTTATATATATTTTTTATTTCTTCTATTTGTCTTGAACTTTTGATTCTTCTTTCTTTTTTTCACTAATTTAACATTCTCTGTATGTATTGTCTTGTTGGAGACACTTAAAGAGTTTATTATTTACTGAATAATAAGAAATTTATTCATACAACTATTTACATATTTTTTAATTTATTTAAAAAATGAATATGTGTAAAAATAACAAGTGCCAAAAAAAATTAAGTAGAGACATGTTTGAAAATTTTATTTTAACTAATAAAATAAAATAGGAACACATGTGGAAAAAACTACTCTTATGGAAGAAAAGTGAGGAACAATGTGCCCGTTTGGTAACGTTTTCAAAATGATTTTGTTTTCAATACAAAAGTAAAAATGAGATTATTTTGAGAATTATTATGGGACAATTCTAAAATTGTGTTTAGTTAGTTTTTTAAGAGATTATTTTGAGTATAATAAAAAAGTGAAATCGTGTTTAGTTATACTTATTAATTAATATATTATAACATTATTGTTTAGTCATTAATCGTGTTTAGTTATTAATCGTGTTTAGCTAGAAAATGAAAACAAAAGAGGAAAAACAACTTCTAACCGTTTTTTAATTCATTCACAAAATCATTCTCACTATTTTTTGTTTCCGTCTTTGTTTTCAAAATATTTACTAAACAAATAAAATTTGTAAACCGTTTTCATTTTATGCCACAAAAAACGTGCAGAAACGTTTTTAAAAAATAAGCAAAAATCAATTATAAACGTATTCAATATATTTTTCAAAAATGCACAAAAAATTATAATGTAAACAAATTAACAAAAAATCAAAATAAAAAGTACAAAAAGGAAAAAAAAAATGAAGAGGCTCTCACGTGATAACCTCATATAAAAAAGTTTTCAACTCTTTTAAGATATTTTAGGTATATGTAAGTAGAGGTAGCTTTACATTTTTTTATATAATTTTGGTTTAACTTTGCTGGGAATGTAGTCGTAGACATAGTTTCGTTTTTTTATTTTATTTTATATAATTTTGGTTTAACTTTACCGGGAATGTCAGTCGTAGACATACTTTTTTTTTTTTTTCTTTGGCATGTATAAACAACAATCTGCCTTCCTTATAAAGCGCTGGTTTAGTTGCATTTATTTGAAGTAGATATATGCTAGATTTCTGGATTCGAGTGGTAACTACCTTTCTAAATGACACAAGTCAAATTCTCTCCGTTAAGAAATAATTTTAAAAAATAATCTTAAGAAATATTAAGATTTGGTAATTATAAATTTTTAAATCTTTTATGTTTATTATAATTAATAAAGAAATTAGTTTGGATTGGTTTAATTTTAATTTCGATTCATATGTAAATAGATATATTATTTATATCTAAATTTTTCTTATTTCACCTAAAAAAAAGTTTATCTTTTTTGAATAAAGGAAATATATTTCAAACCAACGCAAGAGATCACAGTGTATAGTGATTGAATATTTAGGAATTCAACTATAACGGGAGAAATTAATTACCAATAAAAATTATCGTGATTTTTAATACTATCACTATAAACATCATAAGTTTTTAGCAGAGGGGGAGATCTCCTAATCTTCCTTTGTGGTCAGATTTTTTATATTTATTTTCATTTATTTTATAACTAAAATATTTCATCATAAGTTTTGTCAAACTCAAATCTTTAACATGGTTGCGGGTTCCTGTATGGTTTATTATTCTTTTCCGGACATCTCCTCTGAGATATGCAGATAAAGGTAAGATTTGAAAGTTTTTATAGACAACCAAATATCGATACTGAACAATAGATTAGCTAATGTGTCAATTTGGTCAAACTCCACTAGAGGGGGAATTCTTTTTGGAATTTCGCACATCCCAATTGATGAAAGTACACAAATCATTTTTTGCCCGATTTTGCTATTAGTGTTGACGGTTTTGCATACTAATCTTAATTTTGTTTAAAGATAAATGTCACATCATTATTTTTATTATTATTTTTATTATTTTTTACATTTATTATTTAACATATAAATTTTATTTTTTTATTTTTTATTTAAATAATGATATATTATATTAGTGGAATTTAAATATCAAACAGTAAATATAAAAGGTAATAAAAACAGTAATAAAAATAGTTACGCTAATATTTTTCTTTTGTAAAATCACTTACGGCCTGTTCGACAGTCATAAAAACTCAAAGAAAGTAACTCGAGTTATAACTTTATTTAAGTTTATATTATTTTAAGTTTGAACTCGAGTTTGAGACTAAAACTCGAGTTCAAGTTTTTCCTTCAACTCGAGTTCAAAAACTCGAACTCAATTTAATGAACAGTATTTTTTCTATTCTTAAAAATGCTATAACTTTTTCGTTTTAATTCTAATTGAGATGATTTTTTTTCTATGCGTTGACAACGAAAAGACGAATAAAACCCCACACATATATCCTATTAAAATTTCTCATCACTATTGAGTTTTTATTAAAATACTATTTAAATACAAATTCAAGTTTTGACTCACTCAAACACAAACTCAAAAATATTCTTATCTCAAACCATAACTTAAATGTACACAACCAAACACAAACTTAAGTTATAACTCAAACTCAACTCAAGATATTCACTCCTGAATGTCTAATTCAAAAATGCAAAAGAACAAACCCGTTAGCATTTCTCTTTTGTAAGATCTCTACGACCGTAATGTGTACATTGACTTAATCCAAACACTCCCTTAAAAGGAAATGTTTAAAACAAAACTCTAATTATTTTATAGATCACTTATCCGTTGTTGTACTCTTTATATTTCCTTTCCTTTTGTTTTTTGTTGAGGAGGCCAATGAGAATAACAAACACCCAAGTCTGTTAAAAAACATAACAATGGCTGCCGAGAAAAAAAAGCATAAAGCCTACTTAAATGAAGTCGAATGAACGAAATTAATAGGGGGGATACAAACATCCTCCGCTAATAAAGAATAAGAAGTACAAATTGTCTGACGGTTAAGTAAATAGGCAATGACATCGTTGATTCGCCTTACCCATTCAAACGAGAAGGATTGAAGATCTCTAGCCGCAAGCACTACTTATGACATGTTCATTTTGCTAGTTATAATCACCATTTAAGTTTTTAATATAGTGTTCTTTTATAAAAATTTAAATTTAATTTTTTATATTACGGCGTTTTATCTCACATAAATTCATTTTTATTTGCTTAATTCCTTATTATTGTTTTGAAACTTGTTTCTAAAGGTGTTACCATATCTAAGGTCGGCAATATGGGTTACAACACGACTCGAAAACGATACGAATTTCACGGGTTAGGGTTGAGAAAAAAAAAGTTTCGGTCAGAATAAAGTCGACTTGAAATTGATACAAAAAACACGGGTTAATTTCGGGTTGAACCCGTCTAACCCGAATACGAAATTCGTAAAAAATTAAAAACTAAATATATTTTTCATTACATATTATTTATTTCATTATGAACTTGTGATATCATGATAGTTATATTTAAAATTTTATACTATTATTTGCTTAATTTCAATGGATGTTATTGTATTTTGGGTTCACGGGTCATTTTCGTGTCGTGTTGTGTCAACCCGTAAAGTGGTCGTATCGTGCTCGTGTTACGGTTTTTAAAAAATTTCGTGTCACGGGTCGTGTTTGAATTAATTGTAAATTTTAAAAGAAAATATCAAAACACGACACATGACACGAATTGTCACCCCTAACCATATCTAGCGAAGGATTATTTTCATATTGCCTACAAACAATGTATCTTGTTTTAACATGTCACTTAATTTTTTTAAACGGTTTAAAATACCTTTTAATATATAAAAAAATCGTTCAAAAACTCCTTCCATCCGATTCCGTCTATAAACTCATAGACATTATGAGTTGATGCTCCCTCTTTCGTAATGCTTGTTTTAGTTCAGCTCCCATTGAGGCTCTAAAGTAAGCGTTATTAGATCGATATCATTTTATGTTTATAATTAGTTGTTGAAATTATATGGCTCACATAATCGTAGTAAAATTCTACAACTGAGTGAAGAGTTAAGAATTACACATGAAGAGCTACATGGAATGATGTATTAAAGTTTTGCAAAAGGAGGCGGCCTTGCAACCATTTGGAGCGACCTAGAGTGCTGTCACTTGTCAGTTCTTCTCTTTACTTCGTACGTTGAGAGAGTAATCTATTTGAGTGTATGAGGTTCAGAGTTTTGTGAGACGGAGCCACGTATTGTCGGTTTAGGCTTCGTTCACTTCGCGAATTTAAGTTTTTAATTTGAGTTGAGACGTGATATTTTTTGAGAGTTTTTCACTGTAACAGAAAAAGTTAGATGTGACATTTTATGAGAGCTTTTTACTGTAGAAATATAAAACTGAAAACTCGAATTGGTGAAATGAATGAAGCCTAGTTTGTAAGTTTGAACAAAAAAATCTAAACAAAAATTTAAATTTTGTCAAAAAAAAAAAACATTACAACAAAAGGTTTAACATTAGTTTGAACCTATAAAATAAACAAAAACTACTCTTTTGTGTAGTCTCTTTGTTTTGATAGTGAGGGTTTCTGATTGGGCAAGTAAAAAAACTATGTTCTTTATCCGCTTGCTTTATTCATATTTTATCCTTAAATCCAATATATTAGGCAGGATTCCTAACACTATTCATCATGTTTCAAAAAATTTAAGTACATTGTCACACTTGTGTCAATAATTGGCCATACTTGATTTAGGTGCAAAATCATGAGTACCTTACTCGTCGAAGGGAAAAAAAAAACAATGAAATAAAATTGACAACTTTAAGCTTTTTTTTTCCGAATAATATATTTAAAGTACGTCTTTATTTTTGCAAGGAAAAAAACAAGCGTACGTACTGTTGTTTGTTTATATGATTATTATTATTATTTTTTTAATGTGATGTGGTTGTTTCATAATGATGTTGTTTTTCCAATTTATTGTCACTTTTAAGTTAATTGTCGTTTACATTAAAACGACTTGACGTCTTATCAACGATAATGTTCTATAGCAAACTATACGTCATTTTAGTCATGAATCATGATTTTATCCTTTCTATTGCATGGGCTGACAATTATTATTCACATATCGTGGCGCAATCACATAATAATATAATTAGCACGAACATGAACACAATATATGAGTAATGAACGTGTTAAGAATCCAAACATGAATATAAAATATTAATTACACAAACAATATGACCCGACACGCGAACAAGTTTATTAAACTCGTGTAACGAGTTCACATTAAAAAAAAGTTTATGAACCAAGTCAACAACTAATATAAATGGTGGAAATTAGTTTTTTTTTTTTTCATATGTAAAACTAACATTAATAGACTACATACTAAAAATAACATAGTTTCTCCAAATGTCTATAATAATCGACAACTTAACACATAAAAATATATTATCACAAAATATACGTATGATATTTCTACTTAAGTATGTAAAAGTGTCGAAACACATCATATTCAAGTTTTTAAAAAATAACCGAACATCCAAATATCCATACTCAATTGTCTAAGTACATAAGACATCTAAAGCACATAACACGAGAAACCAATCTGTTTATTTTCATATTATTTGGTGCCACTCTATTAGCGACCTAAATAATACGAAGAAATGAAGAATTTATCTTTAAGAGTATATGAGTCTTAATTTTTACCCTTCACTCTTGATAAATATTTTTTTATTAGTATAATTATTTAACTAAAAAAATTATAAATCAAGAATAAAAGGTCTTTACCTATATATTTTTAAGAGATACCTGTGAATTACTCTAATAATAAACATTAAAGATGCACTCGGCCCATCTACAACTCAAGCTCAAACGGAAGTGCCCAAGAAAGTAAGAGATATTTATGTACCTAATTTTCTCAAGAGAAAAGGTAGTAAACAACATATTTATTAAACTAAAAGAAATAAATAGTAGATTTTAAAATTATTTTCATTTATAACTAGTAAAAAAAATTTCACGTAGATTTTTGTTTTTATGACTGGTAAAAAAAATTTGCACGTAAATAAAATTTTTTAAAATTTTTTTACCACATAATTAATTTTTTTACCAATAATAAATGAATTTTTTAAATAATAAACTGCTATTTACTTTAAATAGTTTTAAATATATTATTTATTTAATTTAATTTCAAAGATATGATATTTACTACCATTTTTCTTTTCATCTTTCCTCAATCTCTTTTTAGCTGGGTCCGAGATGTGCCCACAATAAATTTTCCCAATAAATGAAAGGATGATAAAGATGAATATACTTTGGAGCTGGAGCTTAGCTCAACCGCTCAACTATAGAAAAGGGGAACAAAAGTAAAAAAAAAACAAGGTGCTGCAAGTTATGGAAATTACACGGCTAATTAGAATAAGACACAGTGCATTTGTAATAATTAGATCAATTCGAGGACGCCAATTGAAGTGCCATATTGTGAATCGTCCTTTACATATACCCACACACACACACACATATATATATTGTATGTATATATGTGAATGTGTATGTGTGTGTCTGTGGGTAGTCCTTGAGGCATAGTAATTATCAATTAATTAACTGTCACCGATATTATAAGTGATTAAGTTCATTTTGAGCTAATAAGTTCTGGAATGATACTTGTCATTAGTACGATACTTGTCACGAGTAGACATTTTGGACTAAGAAAGTTTGGGACGAAGGACTTAAATATATGAATACGACTCTAATATATATAGCTCGTTTAGTTCGCTGATTCGAATTGAGATGTGACTTTACGTGAGAGCTTTTTATTGTAGTTAAAAAGTTAAATGTAACTGTTTATGAGAGTTTTTTACTATAGCAAAACTCGAATTCTAAACTTGAATCAGTTAAATAAACGGGGCTTGTTCTATATTCCTAAACCTTAATAGACAATACTCCACCCAATGTATTAAACATAATCAGTGTTTGGTGCAACATTGAATAAGGGAATATTCTGATTAAATGCTCAATCCAAACATGATTAAAATCACCTAACTCTCACAATTTGGATATATACGTTTGAGTGAAAAGTGTTAGCTTTTTACTTTATTCTCTCTCTTTTACTTCCGTGAAAACTCAAGCTTCAAAATGCTTTTTTTTTTCCCTTTGTTTCAACTTTAATTGAAACCATTTTTCTTCTTATGCGTTTAAAGTAAGGAGAGGAATAAACTCTTATCTACATAACCTATTAAAATCTGTCATGCACAATGATTATTTTGTAACTCTAAAAATGGGATTTTTTTTTTTTGGTATTTATAATGTATAATCTTAAAATCAACACTCATAGATCCAACTATAAAGTTTTAATTTGATCCTTAAAAAAACTTGCCCTATTAGAGTACGGCAAAACAACCTGATTCACAGTAGAAATCTCCCTTTTTCTTTTACACCAAAAAATTGAAAAAATTAATTAGTGATTGAAGTTTCAATTTACATTAGGTTTTGATAATATGTTTTCAATTAGATCAAGAAATATGATATTTTTTTTGTAACAAGGTTCAGCATGAATCCATGAGTGGGTAATCATTGTTGATGGATTAATCATTTAAGACGGCAGCAAGAAACAACCATTATATTGATCAATTAACTTTAGCTTTGACCTTTTGTTTTTGACTTTGTCCATTATTGGGAACTGATGATAGATAGAATCTCAGGGTATCAATTAGTATGTAATCATTCACTTTCTTCTTCCTCTTTTGACATGTGTAATCATTATTCAACCTTGATAAACCACAAAAAGAAAAAAGAATCCTTGACAGTTAAAATGTCAACTTTGGTGTGCGGTAAAATTATAGGAATGCATATGCAAAGGCTTAATTTCTTCCCAAAATAAAAAATAACATAATATATATGAAGGGTACTATAACATAATTATTATGTTATGTAAAACAATAGTTTAAGGTCATTAAAAATTTATTTGTAGGAGATCATGGTTATCTCTTTTAAAATTATTGTTACGTGTAATAAATATCATACTACACCCAGTTTATTTCTATATGTTAGTGTTGGAGTGGTCCTCTATGAAAGGACCAAAGACAACCCTTGTATAATAACTCAAATGTTTCCTATGTTACCATTCACATATTTAATTCTTAGCTTAATTATATGACACGTCTCAAAATATTTTATGGCAGTAATACTACACACCGTTTTCCTTTCATTATAATTAAGTATTCGGCCGTGCTTCCAACTGTGTTTCCTCTTTTTTTTTTTTTTAAGTATTCCAACTGTGTTTTCTAGGTCCTGCTGATATAATTTTATGCATTTTGCTTCAATATAATCATATTTGAGGCTTTTTTTAACCATATTGTTCTCATGCTGCATATATATATATATATATATATATAAATGAGTTTTTGTTACTACTAACATTCATTCTATTTAATTCCAGTAATAAATAGGCTTCCAAACTAGTTAATTATTAATTAACCAAGCTTTTCCTATGTTCTACTTAGATATTTCTTAGAAAATTCATTTGGGAAAACCATATATATACATACATATATATATATATATATTCCTGGGAAAGAAGAATAGAAAATAAAAACAAACTTCCATTTAAAAAGAAAAAAAAAAGAGAGAAAAAACCTTGACGGTAAAACTGCATTGATAGTTTCACTACTGACTGTACATCAACAGACAACAAAAGCAAGCAGGTATTCATCGTTTCATTTCACTTATAATCGTTAACCCTAACATTAAAAATTCCCACGCGCGGTCCCATCGGAGGCGCGTGGATCACGCGAACCGATCCGACGGCTCACGCGCCGTCCACTTCTGCATCATCAACTCCCTGTAAAACTTCTCGATGAACTCCTCCGCCGCCTTGTCAACGTGGAACTCCTCCTCCTCCTCATCAGCACAACAACTACCACCTGATCTAAACGACGACGACTCCTTCGTCGTCGTTTTGATCCACCTTGACGACGAACCGGAAACCGGCGTCCTCAGCGGAGACTCAACCTCTGTAGTACGACGATTAAACATCTTGAACGACCCCACCGGGAGAACGACGTCGTCTTCGTCGAATGCGGGGGGTGGTTGGGGAATGATACGGTTACCGTGACCGTGACCATGGCCGTGACCCCTACGGGAGTGCTTCATGTAATTATTATAATAATTATTATCATGCTTGCGCTTGGTGACGTGGCAGGAGGAGTAGCGTCGGTGCGGTGGGGATGAGCTGCAGCTGAACTCGTACTCCCGGGGGGAGACGAAGGACATGCGGACGTCGTGGGAGGTGCAGCCGAGGGCGGTGTTGTGGCGGAGCATAAGGTCGTTGAAGGACTTCCCTAGGATCTTGCCACGTCGGACCATCACCTGCAGATCCGGCATCGCCAGCTTCCGTGATCTCTTCTGGATCATGAAGATGATCAGACGGACCGCGTTGCTCAGCTTCTTCGAAATCAACGGCGGCGGGGACGGGCACTGCTCCAGTACTACTTCCACTTCCACCATAGTGCTTGGACAAAAGAGAGTCCTTGTTTTTATTATCAACTATCAAGAGAGAGAGAGAGAGGAATTGGAATTTGGAGATGAAGAAGGAATAATAAGAGGATATAATAGTTGTCCTGTGGCAGAGGAATTGGGGTAGAGGTACTTAAAGGGCCCGACATGTAAGGTGGGTCCCAACAGAGCAATATTTTTATTCTTTTTTTCTATTTGATTATTTTTTGATTGAAATTGTTTTGATTAATTGATTGTCCAATGGAAATTTACATCGTACTTTTAATTAATAATTCGCTTTTGTTTTGTACTGTCGATTCGGATAGGCTTTTAGTTTTTATTTAGCCTTTTCTTTTTTATTAGGGGTTGATTTGATTATGATGTGCCTTATAATTGGTTTTTTTTTATAAAAAATTTATTTTGTTTTTTCTTTTGGATGAGATGTAGTCATGTAGCTAGCCGAAATCTGGATGGTCTTCATCGATTGGAATTGAAACTGCTAGATTTTGCTTGGTTTTCACACCTGTTTAATTCATTAATTTAAATTTTTAATTTAAGATAAATATTATTTTGGAACCGTTCATTTTATAGATCACATTCAAGTAAACCCAATTTGAGTGTGAAATTAAGCCGAGTTATGCGTTCATTAAACGCAATTTGAATTTCAAACTTGAGTTGGTGAGTTTCACCCACCCATTGTTTTCCTATTACTCAAATTTAGTTCTATTGTGCGGATTGCTATGCAGAAAATGACACTTATTTGTAATTGGAGTTTGGTTTTATTATAAGTGAACACAAAACTCAAGTTTTAAATGTCAAATCAATCTCCTCCTAAACACTTAACTCAAAGTCCAAACTAAACTCAAATTTTTTGCAACTCAAATCCACTTTCTTAACTCGAATCAACAAATTTGAGTTAGTGAAGTGAACGCGTTTTATGTGAGAGCTTTTTACTGTAATAAAAAAGTTAAATGTGACTGTTTTTAAAATCTTTTTACTGTAGTAAAACTTAAATTGGTGAAATGAACGAGGCTTTCATATAGTATTTTTGGACATAATTGCCTCCTTGGCTGCATTTATTAGAAAATGAACCGTCTGTTTTCTTTTTTTATAAATATTTTATAATCAATATTCCATCCAACGACATTAAAAAAAAAAGGTCCATTCAACGACAAGGAGAGGGGGAGAAAAAAGAGAGAGAGAAAATATAATATTTTCTTTTGAAAGCGTTTCATAGTTCAATGGGCGTTTAAATTTCGTATACTTCCCGTAGCTTTCGAAAGCGTCACAAGAGACAAGATCATACATGATGTATATATGTCCCTTATGTTCATATTTTCTATAGTACTTTTTTTTTATTAGAGAAATATAATTTGAAACAGTATTTTTTTAAATATAAAGACGAAATTCGATCCACTTAATCTCTCTCTCTCACACACAAACACACACACACACATATATATATATATATATTGGCGTGGTTGATAGATTCAAACATCAACTTTTGGTCAACTATTGACGTGAAAATTTCATAATAAATTTCTAAGTGAGAATATATGCTCTTGTTTGGTTTATAAATTTTTTTGTGGTTGGTCCGATAGTGGCCACATCAGTTTATAAGTAAATCTAATAGTCAAAAGGCGGTGCTTGTAGTTTCTTATTGTCACACACCACATGTAAATTTTATATTTATCGGTCTTGAATTCTTTAATCAACTTAATTAATTAAACATACTACTGAAATATATAAAACAAAGAATATTGCACAAGTATATATACTTGTTGACCCGTAAGATAAATTATCTTTTTTTTTTTGTATTTTCCTTTTTTTTTTCCTCCTCTTTGCTCATTCCGGAAATTAATGAATTAAAATGCAAACCAACCATGATATATACTTTCTCAGTTCAATAAGATTAATCAACAAAGTTGTCTTATTGATCTGTCACCGGTACACGCTGAAAGCTATCTACTCACTCAATATTTTATGGTCCGTCTGAAAAAATTAAAAGAGTTTGCTTTATGCTTTGGATATGAACAACAGATTATAATAACTAAAAGCTACTAAACTTAATGGAGACGTAATAATTATGATACATACATAAAGGAGTAGATAACAGAAAAAAGGAACTCAAATCCTTTGGCGGCAAACTTTAGTTAGTATATATAAGTCTTCCTTTAGCTTTTAGCCCTACCATTATCATTTTTTTTTATTGTATTTAGAATTGGAAAAATATACTCCCTAAAATAAAGGATTGGAAAATATACTCAAGCATACTTTAGTTATTTTATTAACTTGTTGGGATTGGCCATGATGATTGTAAGTATAGAATCCTATATGGTGGTAATTGACACAATGCCGGCTCAAAAGAAATTGGGGCCCTATGTTTATAGGGAACTTTTTCTTTTTCAAAATTTAGAGATTAATATATAAATACATGTACTTATATAATTTAATTTCTAATTACTTTTTTACTATAGCCAGTATCTTTTATTGAATAACTATCACTTGTGATTGATTTTGAAAATATATTTGTGATTAAGACCCTTTTATATATGACCATATTAAATAATAGAATATAATTCTTTTAATAGAATGCATCTAGATGAAATTTAAATAATTTAATTTTTCTTTATGTATTCACTTATTTCTTTTTAGAGTTTTCTGATTTTTTTTTTTAATTAGGGAGTGGGGAAATTTGAGCTACTTGTGACGTTATGAGTTTGATATTACGCATTCACTTATATATATATATATATACATGTAATTAAGTGTTAGTATTATTAGACTAATTAAACTTCCTCTATCTAATATTTTCAAAAATTTGAACTAGAAAATGTAACTTCTCCACAACCATTTGTAACAATTATTGTTAGTGGAATATTTACTAAAATGGTTTACCGGCCAATTTCCATTTTAAGTTTTTTTCGTTTTAAATATTGATTTTACTAGTGGCTTTGAGGCTCGTCTTGAAGGTTGGAGACTTATAGGAGGTAAGACCATTTAAAAGTCGTGCGAGGTAAATAAGAAAGTTATAGAGTCACGTATAATTATATGTACATGTGGATTTTCATGCAGTATAATTTATATCTATATATATATAAATATATGTATGTATGTACGTATATAACGATTCATTCTCACTTCTTTTTTTTTTTTTTTTTCATTTTACAAGAGATATTAGAAAATCCTTCATAAACCCATAAAATAAAATGAAAATAAGAAAAACAATTATAAGCGTGATAATGACTACCATGGTATTGAATGAGCGCAGGTTGTATCGAGTTGGCACACAGAAATGGCAGCTGTAGCGTTATTCTCTCTTTCATGAAAAAAACCAAAGCCAAATGCAACATACGAAGTTTTCAGCTAGCTGGGAATTTATGTCTTTTGTCCTTCCATCAATTACCAACAATATATATTATAGGCTTTAAATTAATGCGTTAAATTTAGAACGGTAAGAGGTCAATTGAAAAAATAACTACGAAATTAATGAAGAGAATTTATCACAATAATATTCACAACAAAAGAATTATATCCTTTATTACATAGATTAAAAAAATTTTTACAAGCAGTTGCAATCTTACGTTGATAGATCACTCCGATTTTAAGATAACTAAACGCGTTTAGGAACAAATTGTACCTACGTAACTATAGCCTCATTCGCTTCATGGATATTCAAGCTGAGATATTACATATTTTAAGAGCTTTTAACTGTAGTAGAAAAAGTTAGATATGACATTCTCTGAGAGCTTTTTAACTATAGAACTAGAACTGAAAACTCGAATTGGTGAAATAAATGGGGCATAAATATATTTTGAGACTCGAGTTTTTTAAGAGAGAGAGTTAGAGAGAGTGAGAAGGTCCTTGGAGAACAGAGGTTGGCCGGAGCTCCGGCACCGTCTTTGGGTGCATCGCTGGACTCCCGACCGTAAAATTTGATCCTCCAACTCGTCTTGTCGTGGGCTTCTCATTGGTGGTGGTGATGTATGGTGTGGTGGCTCTATTTGGGCATATTTGAACCGGTTAGGAGCTTAGAAGTCGAATTGACGGTCTCCTTTCAGAAGGGAGTTTTTCGCTTGGTGGCTGAAATCTCTTCGCTTGCTGTCTTCCTCGATGGTTCTTTGGCCAGACGCCCTTCACCAGAGGTTTCTATAGGCGGTGGTTAGAGGTTTTGCATTTTTGTAACTTTTGTGTTTGTAATAAGGTTGGTGGTTTCCCCACTTAACCCTCGTCTGGTTTGTTATTTTTTTGTTAGATTTAGGTGTTCAGTTTAATGTTGATAGGGTGGTCTTGGTCAGGCTAGAATTTTTCTATGCCATGTAGATGTCTTCTTTATGTGGTTTTTGACGATGTGTCCCTCAAGCGCTTGACACCTTGTGTTGAAAAGAGGAGTTTTCTCCAGTCGAGTTTTCAATCCGCTCGTTGTTAGTGTGACGATGTGCTTTCTCAGTTCGGGCCTTAAGCGTGCGTTTATCCTTCTAATAGGTTAACATTGTACCAAGACAATTGTTTATTAGTATTTTTATAAAATGGAATTTTTCCATTCAAAAAAACTATAAATATGTATATCCATCTTCAATTTTTTTCCTTACTTTAAGTTTATTTTTTTTTCTTTCCTTCGATATAAATTATGAGGAAATGTTTCCTTGGAAACAACATAAATTAACTGAGAGCAATAATACAAGGTAGGTAGATAATTAGATGAAGCCATTGAATTAAGATATAAAATCCAACTATATATAGATGTGTGTCATAGCAACCGCAGAATATTGTCATCTATCACCAATGGCCATTAAAAATGTTGGGTGCCAGCTGAAGGGTCCATTAACAATGTTAATGTTTTTACTTAATTAATTTCACCTAACAGTTATGCTTCTACTTCACTCAAATCAATAAAACCAGTTCCTGAGTTTTCAGCTAACTGTTATACATGATAATTAGACACACACACACATATATACATACATATATATATATATATGTGTGTGTGTACGTATACATATATGCTTCATCTACTGTATTCCCATCAACATCATCTGATCTGGTTTTTCACCTGTCTTCTCACCAGCAAATACTTATGACACGCTAGCTAGTACATACAACAGCTTTTGCATTGAAATAATATTCCATGGTAGGCCAGCTCCTATATATAATCAAAATTATCTCTATCTAGCAATTGCTCAAATCAAATCCTCTTGTTAGAGATTGCTTTTAAACTACTATAGTGCTCAATAAATATCCCTAAGATTATCCAATAAGTTTTATGCTTATCTACGATGGATACTCAAATACAAACAACCTAAAAGGTGATCTATAAGATTACCTAGGAACTACACTCTTTTTCTTATAATTATCCTTTACTCTTTAGCCCAAAAATGAGGGCAATGATTTTTTTTTTTTTTTTAGTGAGAAATCAGCATAAAAATTCAATTTTTATTTTTTAAATATTATAATATTTTTGTTCTCATTTTCGCCTTCAGATATTAACTCAAGAGGGGTAGCATTTTGCGAGTTAAGAGATGCATTCCTTAAAAGCAAAAATAAGGCCGATCTTTCTGTCGTTATGACACGAGGGCCCAATTGCTGGATGTCATTGGATTTTTATCTGGGTTCCAATTCTGAATCATACTTTAAATGTTTTTTTTTTTTTAGGAATTTTTTTTTGTAGGATTAATGTGATTCATAATTTGATCCGACCAAAATTTGTAGCAAATTGTAACCAAATGCTTTGAATTAGAGAACTGATTTGCGATGAAAGAGAAAGAAGTTTCCAAATAAATAATATAAATAAATAAAAAAGGATGGAAAACAAAAGACAATTGTCCAAGACTTGTCTATATCCTTCTTGTTCACAAGTAAATTCTCAAAGGTTACCCGTGATCATTGTGTTTACTTTTTTATATTAAAACATAAAAATTCTTCCAGAAAGCGACCGTGGTGGGACATAAGTAATCATAATACAGCCATTGAGAAAAGAATGATTGCTAATTAATTTGAGGGCATCAATTAATTAATAGCCGGGCATTGTGATAATTTCAATTGTACTTTGAGGTGGATGGTGCTTTTTAAAAGAAGGGAATTATGTAATAGACTCTGACAAATTGCATGATAATCATATCAGATATCAGATTAATATATAAGATATGAAAATTTAACAGAATTTAACGGATGAAAGATCATGTTTCATTGATGAGATTCTTTTTATTTTATGATTAATGATACTTTAGAGAGAGAGAGAAAAAAAATACTTTCTGATCTCCTCTGGCTAATCAGAAGGACCTTTCAAGTGTCAATGTCTTAGCTAGCACGCCACACTAGATATTTTTGCGTCGAACCATATATATGTGATCAATGTTTAAAGAGACTTCTCTTTCATTGACATTTTGGATTTGCACCGATTCTCTGTTTCTCTCATTGGATATATGTCAATAGCAACACAAAACACAAGAAATATTTAATTCCTTACATATAATATATAGGTAAATGTTAAGTCCAACAGTCGTACAGGTCGAGTAAATGTAACTTTTTATTTTTTATTTTTTCTAACATTGTTCAAAAGTGCGTGTAACATTCAACGTGTTAAGTGTAATACTCAATATTATATGTGTTAGACTACCTTTTCTGCATATTGCACTCAAGCTAAACGAGTGTTACATATATAAATAAATGATGCTACACATTAGTGTGAAAAAAGTTACATTTATTGGACTGATTTGGCTGCTAGATTTAGGACATTCCTTTTTGCTTAAGTATATAGGGTTATAATAATTACAATACATTTTCTTCCAACAAATGTTTGAAACAAAAATTAGAAACCATTAAACATGATTACTTCTTGAATAATATTAATAGCAAAATGAAAAATGACATGAAACGATCAATACCAATTGGAGGCAATGCTTAACATTCCCTTTTCTTATTTTCTAAATTGAGTGAGACCAATTAAATATCCATTGTTAATTTTGTAAGTAAACACGTTATTAGATGGTATACAAAATCACTCATTTTCTCTTTGCCTTTGATACGAAATAAACGCGCCTTAGTCTACTCCAACTTATTTAGTGTCAAAAATTCAATCCAATCTAATTCAATAAGATTCAATATTCTAATTAGAGATTTAAACCATGATTCATTCTAAACAAATTAAACGCGAAACTTAGTTAAGGAAAAGAAAATCAAATTACCAAAAAATTCCAATTTCAAGCATATGTCATTAAAGTATAAACAGAATATAGCATCATTTACAAATTCAAATCCCATAAATATAAGCCTTTAGGTTTTTATTCAAGAGGCTATAGATTGATCACAAATTAGATGTAAATTTTGAATTTTCTAATACAATACAATCCAATAGAGGTTAGATCTCTAATCCAAATTGAAATTCTTGACAGTGAAAAATGACAAACATCGGGGAATTGAATATCTATGATTGAGATCCGATTTGAAAATATAAAAAAACCATCAACGAATCAAATAAAGATTAAACAAAAAAAAGACACAAAAATGTAGAGTGGGTCGGCTCAATATAGCCTACATCCATTATGATTGTTAACTTTTTTTATTGAATTTATGAGATTATGCCCTTGAACTCTTTATTATGCTCTCTCAACACTCAAAAGAAAATAAGAAAAAATGTAAGTTTGGTAGAGAAACAAGAGTCTGAACCTTCTCCTTGTTATAGACCAACAATTTTAACGTATTTTTTGATGGAAAGAAGTGATACCAATTAATTGAGTAGAGAGAGTACTAAAATCTTATTTTATAAATAATGAATTAGTGCATTCCATCAAAATACACACTCCTTCATGAAATGCAGACACATTTTTTAATAAGTATTGTAACCCTTTATAGTCAATAAAATTTTAGTATTCAAATAATTATTAAGCCATTTAAATAAGTAATATATCTGATAATATTTATAGGCTATTAATTCATTATGTGGGCTACATGACTCTTAAGGGAAATCTAACAAAGTTCTCTTCACCGAGGATAGAATAGTAAAATAGCAATATCAAAAAAGAAAAGAAAAAGTAACAAAAATGCCAAATAGGTCAAACGGTCAACTCCCAATAACCACTGATTACACACAATTTGGCATGTGTCACCGAATCAGAAAAGTTTCGCTATTCCCTTATTCGTCTTTTTAGGCAAAATTTTCCGTTGTTTTGATTTATAAATTATATTTTTTAACCCTTAAATTTATATAAAACTACATAAAAATAAAAATTATGTAAATTTAACGGTTAAAAAAATATCACTTATAAATACATGACATTTGGTTGGAGGATTCAAATCATGTGATTCGAATTATTTTTAATTTATGTGAATTTTTTTATGAGAGAAAATACTGTAACGAACTATAAATTATGATTCGAATCAGGGAACGAATCTCTCCACCAAACATCATTTTAAAGAATATGTCATTAAAGTATAAACAGAATATAGCATCATTTACAAATTCAAATCCCATAAATATAAGCCTTTAGGTTTTTATTCAAGAGGCTATAGATTGATCACAAATTAGATGTAAATTTTGAATTTTCTAATACAATTCAATCCAATAGAGGTTAGATCTCTAATCCAAATTGAAATTGTTGACAGTGAAAAATGACCAACATCGGGGAATTGAATATCTATGATTGAGATCCGATTTGAAAATATAAAAAAACCATCAACGAATCAAATAAAGATCAAACAAAAAAAGGACACAAAAATGTAGAGTGGGTCGGCCCAATATGGCCTACATCCACTATGATTGTTAACTTTTTTTATTGAATTTATGAGATTATGCCCTTGAACTCTTTATTATGCTCTCTCAACACTCAAAAGAAAATAAGAAAAAATGTAAGTTTGGTAGAGAAACGAGAGTCTGAACCTTCTCCTCGTTATAGACTAACAATTTTAACGTATTTTTTGATAGAGAGAAGTGATACCAATTAATTGAGTAGAGAGAGTACTAAAATCTTATTTTATAAATAATGAATTAGTGCATTCCATCAAAATACACACTCCTTCATGAAATGCAGACACATTTTTTAATAAGTATTGTAACCCTTTATAGTCAATAAAATTTTAGTATTCAAATAATTATTAAGCCATTTAAATAAGTAATATATCTGATAATATTTATAGGCTATTAATTCATTATGTGGGCTACATGACTCTTAAGGGAAATCTAACAAAGTTCTCTTCACCGAGGATAGAATAGTAAAATAGCAATATCAAAAAAGAAAAGAAAAAGTAACAAAAATGCCAAATAGGTCAAACGGTCAACTCCCAATAACCACTGATTACACACAATTTGGCATGTGTCACCGAATCAGAAAAGTTTCGCTATTCCCTTATTCGTCTTTTTAGGCAAAATTTTCCGTTGTTTTGATTTATAAATTATATTTTTTAACCCTTAAATTTATATAAAACTACATAAAAATAAAAATTATGTAAATTTAACAGTTAAAAAAATCTCACTTATAAATACATGACGTTTAGTTGGAGGATTCAAACCATGTGATTCGAACTATTTTCGATTTATGTGAATTTTTTATGAAAGAAAATACTGTAACGAACCATAAATTATGATTCGAATCAGGAAACAAATCCTTCCACCAAACATCCTTTTAAAGAGTGCGAGAGAATCCCTCTGAAAAAAAAGCTTTCAATATTTATGTATCTCTCTCTAGAATTCTAATGGAGAAGGCATTACAGGCAAAGTGGGAAGGGAAGGTCTCAGCAAAGCTATCAAACGCCACAGTAGACCAAATATGGCCTCTATTCACAGACTTCTTCAACTTCCAAAAGTGGTTCCCAAGTCTATCCACTTGCCACGGCATCCACGGCACCAACGGTGATCCCGGCTGCATCAGATACTGTTCCGGATTTTCGATCCCATCCAACGTTGGCGACAAACCCGTCAGCTGGTCAAAGGAGAGGCTGATAGCCGTTGATCACGCCCAACACAGCTTAACCTACGAGATAGTGGATAGCAACATTGGGTTCGAGTCATACGTTTCGACGGTGAAGATCGTTCCTGGAAGTGATCCTGGTGATGATCATGATCATCAATGTGGTTGCGCGATTGAGTGGTCCTTCACCGTTGATCCCGTGGAGGGGTGGGCATTGGATGATCTAGTAAGGAAATACGAAGAGGGTATACAACGAATGGCCCAGAAAATGGAGGCTTCATTTGGAAATAGAGTGAGTTAAGTCGTTGACCAGTTTTCTCTTTTGTTATCAAGTATTTCACTTTAATTTGTGAATTTTCAATAATTGAATAATTGGATCTATAAATGACATATGCTTTCGGGATGTCCTCAATTCCTTGAGATGTTTGCATTGCAAAAAAAAAAATAAAAAATCGTTGAGATGTTTGACTTTTGCTCTGTTATTATTATTATTTTTAATAAGAAACTTCTCGATTAAATTTTTTGTCCATTAAATTTATATAAAATTAAAAATACTAAATAATCTTTATTTTATAATTCCTTTTTATCTATTCATAATATGTATATTATAATCACCCAGCTACCACTTGGTACCAATAAATGATTTTTTTTTTTGACGGTGTAAAATCGCCAAAAGACGAACCTTATTCGACCTTTCACAAATTGTAAAAATTAGAAAACATATCTTTAAAAAAAAAAAAAAAAAAAAAAAACATAGAAAATTTAGACGGGTTCATTTTTAAGGTAGACATACGTGGCCACTATAGCTGGAATTTTCATTATGCAGCCACAATAAACAGCATACTTGAGAACGCAAAAATAATGATTAGGGCTTTTTGCCGAAAATGGTCTATTGATGTAGTTTTAGGGAAATATTTAAAAGTATCATAAAAAAGATAATATTATTTTATTTATGTCATCAATTTTAAATTTATTATTTATGCCACTAAAAAATAGCCCGCAAGCTATTTTTTATAACTTGGTAGGTTATGTTTCATAGTTTGGTAGGTTATCTTTCATATTATGTATGTTATTTTACATATCCTACCAGTATATTTTTCTTTTATCAAGAAAATTCTACCACAATTTTGTTTTTCAAATTCTCTCTCTTTCTCTCTCTCAAAAACTAAATAGAGAAAAAAAAAATCCAAAAACCAGCTGTATGTTTCCTCAAAAAAAAAAAGAAAAAAAAAACTCCGAGCATATGAATGCAAACATGAATAAATATGATCGATTAATATAAAGAAAACTAATAATTTTATATTATTTATAATGATGGTCGTAAACAAAATAAAATTTGAATAAACAAATGCATCATCTCTTTTGCATATAGTATAGCTACAGATAAGAATATATATATATATATATATATATACACACACACACACACACACTACAAGTCGAAAGTACAAATTATAGCCTAAGAAAGACATCTGCGCATTAATTAAAATTAACTTCTCCGTGTACTCTTATACAACGGAAACAAAAAAATAGTCATACAAAGCCGCCGTTGACAATCGGCCATAAGATATTATTAAAGATTAAATCAAGATACGTATATACAGACGTTTTCTGAATTGTTGTAATATATATATATGATACGTAACTATTAAAAACTTATTGATATATATGACACATAATTAGCCCCTGTAAATTATTCCCTCTTTCCCAATCGTCAAGAGAGTAGTTGTATAGTCTCTAATTATTCTGATCAATTGTGTCCTAATTTTCCAATGGATCAGAAACAAGCACAGGCCAAATGGGAAGGAAAAGTTTCTGCAAGGCTAGTCAAATCCAGCGTCAACCAAATATGGCCTCTATTTACCGACTTCTTCAACATCCACAAGTGGTTTCCTGTCGTGGAGACTTGCTACGCCGTCCATGGTAACAACGGTGAGCCCGGCTGCATCAGATACTGCTCCTCGGGATCCATAAAAACATCATCAAACGACGTCGTCAGTGGTGAAAAATATAAGCCCCCTAGCTGGGCCAAAGAGAGAGTCATAGCCGTTGATCATGATGAACATACCTTGATCTATGAGATCTTGGAGAACAACATGGGATTCGAGTCATATGTAGCAACGGTCAAGATCGTCCCCGGCGGTGACGAGGACAGTCCACGTGGCTGCGTGATCGAGTGGTCTTTTGCTGTTGACCCCATAGAGGGGTGGGCATTGGATGATATGGAAAGACAATATGATGAGTGGTTGCACCACATCGCCGACAAGATGGAGGCTTCACTTGTAAATTTGGAGTAGAAAACAATTTATGATCTAAGCCTAGAGAAGGTAAGGTAGCTGGTATTTCATTGGCTGCACGTGTTTCTTAGTATTGAAGGTTAAATTTAGAGAATTTCTACTATCAACTTTAACTACGTACCAATAAAAACTGTTGTATTAATCATTGAATTAAGTTTTTAACGTTTTATGTGCGTCCATGATAATAATTTATGATACGAAGCTCAAAACCGCTCCGATAAAAAATAATTAAACCATTAAAAATTTAATTCAATAGTCAAAATAACAGTTTCTACTGATACTTATAAAGAACAAGTTTAATTATTACTGCACAAATTATCTCAAGTTTAAAGGGTTAAAGCTTCAACTTTTTGTTTGTGAGTCGTTGGCTATGATTGTGATTAAATTTCCCCTTTCGTCTTTGAGAAATGCAATACTATGAATTGGTTTAAATACATATACAAATAAATTTTTGAAGTCCTTTTTAACTTGTTAATCACTGGGTTTTTTTTTTCCCTGGGTTTATTTTGGTATATTTCTGGTCTCGATACTTCAACATGATGATTTGTTACGGTATTATGAATTATGATGAGCTGTTACGCCATATTGTCAACAAAATGGAGGGCCAACTTTCGAATCTGGAGCCACGTAACCGGCCACGTCTAAATTCCTTTATTTTTTTTAATTAAGACTAATACGTTTTTTAGGGGAATTAAGACTATTTCTAAGTATCAACACGTTTACCAATTTCTTTCATTAATTTATGCGGCAATTGTTTGGAAACCAAAATTGATGAAAGTGAAAGAAAAAAAAGATTTGATCACTTTGAATTTTTTTTTAATATTTGTAAAATGAACATGTTACGTGGTACATAAATTGCTAGAAAAATTAAGGGAAATAGTAGAAAATAGGTCAATATAAAAAGTTTAAGAAAGTATATACGTTAATTTTTAGTTATAGAAATTAATAGGCTATAATTTGTATGATTCATAATCAGATAAGTTATGGACAAACTTGTCAAGTTATGGTTCATAGCTAGACAAGTTATGGACAATTATGAACAATAACTTGTCAAGTTATGGTTCATAACCAGACAAGTTATGGACGAAAACAGTAATTTGGCTTATTTATTAACTTATGTAAACTATTGACTTATTAATTTTAATTCATCTCAAATCTTGGCCTATTTTCCTCTTTCTCCCAAAAATTAATTAAAGAATTGGGGCCTTAGCAGTTAGCACTAGGGAGTACTTAGCATATTGCTATACGTATATGTATATTTATATCTATCCTTCTATTTTAGTCTTTTAGTTGTAATTGCATAGCAACACAGCCTGTGCAAATGTCTATGGAATTCTGTATTATTTCTATGTTCGTGACATGCTATTATTACGCCAATAATAATGCATATATCACGAAAACAAAAATGTTCATCTTCAACAGTAGCTGTGCTATCTAAGTCCCAATAATAAGTATACCCTAATCTATTATTCAAGACAAAGACAAAAGTCAAGGCTAATCAAAACTATTAAGAGTCCGTTCAACAAATGTACGTAAATCTATAATTTTAATTTTATTACAGTATTTTTTTCTCATAAAAAATTTAAATTTAAAAATTTATCACATTAGTTCTCTAATAAAGTTCCCATCAATAAATCAAAATATCTGACTTAAATATGTGAACTAAATGAGCTCTAATTCTCTTATAGATTATGAGATCCATTAAACCATCTGATAGACCCTATTGACACGCGATTAGTAATTTTTTTTTTTCTAATCCACGTAATTAGTAATTTGTACACAAATGCTTAGATCATCCATTGTGGATTAAGATCTCCTATCTCCCCACGTATTGGAATTTGCACGAGGAGATCATGCCTGCAATTGTTTTTCTACCACACATCACGTTATCACTGATCTTCAGTTAATATTATAATCTCGTTTTGCTTGTGTTCGGATCCGGCACTTATTCCAAGATAAAGTTACTCCTTGATATTTACATTTCACTTCATGAGAGGAGAACTTTACAATAGAAGCTGTCGTTTTTTCTTTATCGGCACGAACTTGTGTTTTAGTTATCGGATTAAGTTTTTGACGGTCTTACAATACTTTTAGGTTTTGTTCAGTTCGTTGATTTGAATTTTTAATTTGAATTGAGAGGTGATTTTATGTGAGAATTTTTAACTGTAATAAAAAAATTATATTTAACTTATTGTGAGAGTTTTTAACTGTAACAAAACTGAAATTAAAAACTCAAATCGATAAAATGAACGAGCTATTAGTCATAACTTTTTTATAAGGTGACTAAATCTATTTTTAATCACAATCTTATTTATTTATAAATTTGTGTTGTGATAAACTTTTTACTACAAAAAACGTTTTGGTATGAATAAAACTTTTTCTTGTAATTAAAAGTCTCATGGCTAAAAGTTTTTCACACCAAAACTTGTGACTAAATGCATATTAATTAGCGACTAGTGGAGCTAAAGATATGATAAATAGTTGTGATTATTTTTTATTTTTTATGTTTTTGGTAGTGAGCCCCTGTTTCCCCATGTGACAACCCAATATTGGAATTTGTACGAGAAGATAAGGCTTACAAATGTGCTTCTGCCACACGTCACCGATATTTTTTGTTGATATGGCTTTGTTCGTTTCGCTGATTCGAGTTTAGAATTCGAGTTTTGTTACAGTAAAAAGCTCTCACAAACAGTCACATCTAACTTTTTTGCTATAGTAAAAAGCTCTCACATAAAATCACATCTCAACTCGAATTCTAAACTCGAATCAGCGAAACGAACGAGGCCTAAATTGTCTGTTTTGTGCTTGAGTTGATAGCCAGACACCTATTTTCAGATAAAGTGTTCATCTTCAACAGTAGCTGTGCTATCTAAGTCCCAATAATAAGTATACCCTAATCTATTATTCAAGACAAAGACAAAAGTCAAGGGTAATCAAAACTACTAAGAGTCCGTTCAACAAATGTACGTAAATCCATAATTTTAATTTTGTTACAGTATTTTTTTTCTCATAAAGAATTTAAATTTAAAAATTTATCACATTAGTTCTCTAATAAAGTTCCCATCAATAAATCAAAATAACTGACTTAAATATGTGAACTAAATGAGCTCTAATTCTCTTATAGATTATGAGATCCATTAAACCATCTGATAGACCCTATTGACATGTGATTAGTAATTTTTTTTTTCTAATCCACGTAATTAGTAATTTGTACACAAATGCTTAGATCATCCATTGTGGATTAAGATCTCCTATCTCCCCACGTATTGGAATTTGCACGAGGAGATCATGCCTGCAATTGTTTTTCTACCACACATCACGTTATCACTGATCTTCAGTTAATATTATAATCTCGTTTTGCTTGTGTTCGGATCCGGCACTTATTCCAAGATAAAGTTACTCCTTGATATTTACATTTCACTTCATGAGAGGAGAACTTTACAATAGAAGCTGTCGTTTTTTCTTTATCGGCACGAACTTGTGTTTTAGTTATCGGATTAAGTTTTTGACGGTCTTACAATATTTTTAAGTTTTGTTCAGTTCGTTGATTTGAGTTTTTAATTTGAATTGAGAGGTGATTTTATGTGAAAATTTTTAACTGTAATAAAAAAATTATATTTAACTTATTGTGAGAGTTTTTAACTGTAACAAAACTGAAATTAAAAACTCAAATCGATAAAATGAACGAGGCATTAGTCATAACTTTTTTATAAGGTGACTAAATCTATTTTTAATCACAATCTTATTTATTTATAAATTTGTGTTGTGATAAACTTTTTACTACAAAAAACGTTTTGGTATGAATAAAACTTTTTCTTGTAATTAAAAGTCTCATGGCTAAAAGTTTTTCACACCAAAACTTGTGACTAAATGCATATTAATTAGCGACTAGTGGAGCTAAAGATATGATAAATAGTTGTGATTATTTTTTATTTTTTATGTTTTTGGTAGTGAGCCCCTGTTTCCCCATGTGACAACCCAATATTGGAATTTGTACGAGAAGATAAGGCTTACAAATGTGTTTCTGCCACACGTCACCGATATTTTTTGTTGATATAATTGTCTGTTTTGTGCTTGAGTTGATAGCCAGACACCTATTTCCAGATAAAGAAAGATACGGCCGCACTAAAAACTCATTTTGATATTCATTTCATTTTTTTTTAATTGAGAACTTTTACCAGAGAGATTGTCCTTTTTTTTTTTTTCTTTTTTGCTAATCGATTGTCCTTTTTTTTTTTTTTTTTTTTTTTTTTTTTTTTTTTAAAAAACTTTTTTTTTTTTTTTTTTTTAATATTTTTTTTTTTTTTATAAAATTTTTAAATAATAAAA